CGGATTATTACGTTCTCTAGGAACAAGGCATTTATGTAGACCTGTTGCCACAGATCTTTTAACGCCTCTTGGAATGAGACAAATCATATAGGTCTATAGTTATAGGTCTAGGAACGAGACAATCATATAGTCCTACCGCAATAGATCTCCTTACGTCTCTATCGTCACAGGTCTTTGATGTCTCTAGAAACGAGACAATAATGCAGGCTTATTGACAGTTTTATGTCCTTATGAAGAACTGTGACCCATCGTCACAGGTCTTTCTAGCCTTAGAGAACGAGACAGTTATATAGGCCCAATGTCACAGGTATTTTAGGTATCTAGGAACGAGACAAAGGTATAGGCCTATCTCGTCTTTTTACGGTCTTTTAAGTCTCTAGGAACAAGGCATTCACGTAGGTCTATCGTCACAGGTCTTTCTGTGTCTAAGAAAAGGACAACCACGCAGGCTATCGTCACAGGTCTTCCGTCTGCCATGACCTACTGCAATTCCCATTTCCCTTATTTCGTTGTTACAAGTATTATTGCACAATTATCAAACAGGACCGTCGTCATTGCTTTTCCCCTCTTTGAACCTGCCCGTCTAAAACCAACAGGCCACTTTGCACTATCCTCTTCTACGACTCCGATTCGTTGAGGCGAGTACACGTAGCCTCCGCGACATCTGTCTCCTGTCTGTCGAAGGAGGGATTCTCGCACCCGAGCTTGCTAACAACGTCCTTCGGTGCGGCGGCGGAGGAGGACGTTTCTCTGTGGTCTAGGACGATGCTCTTGGGCTGTCCCTCTTGCAGTACGACGTTGACCTCTGCTGGAGTCTGGATGATCTCGAGCGGAGGAGGTTCCGTGGCTGCCTGACTCGGCTCGCATTGTGGCTGCGTCTCCGAGCTGGCTTCTGTGCATCTTCCCCCGACAATGTCTTCGTATCTGGGGAGAGAATGAGAGGTTGCTTAGTGACATAAATATGTGATTCTTGTTTGTTTAGAGACGTATTATATTGTTTTTTGTAACTTTCATTCAGTTTATATGTATATAGATAGTTTGAAAACTGCCTATTCCATATTATGTACTAAAATTACAGTACGATGAATAAGTAAAATAATATCCCAAGATGTACTGACTGTTAAATATGTGAAATAAGAGAATAACTATCTACAGGTAATAACAAAAGTATGCTTATAATGTTATTTATCATAATTTTCAAAATACTGTAAATGTGTATTGTAAATATAGTATAGCAATTGTTTTAATATTCTAAATAAGGCCAAATTATGCAATTATAACCTTTGATGTCTCCCTTGAATAAAGGTAATACGTAATATATATATATATATATATATATATATATATATATATATATATATATATATAATATATATATAGATAGATAGAAAGGGAGAGGGAGAGATAGAGATATACACATTTTGTATTCGAAAATGTCGAAAGTTGGCGGAAAATTATAGTACTAACTACATCCGCTTATATAAGTCAGGTAATATTTTTCCAAATAACTTTGTTGATATTAACACATAACTATAAGAACTTCACTGTCATATGTTGCTGCATTATATTTATGTATGTATTGCCTCTGTTTACATGTACATGTATATGTATATATATATGTACATGTGCGCGCGCGTGTGCGTGTGCGTGCGTGTGTGTGTGTGTGTGTGTGTGTGTGTGTGTGTGTGTGTGTGTGTGTGTGTGTGTGTGTGTGTGTGTGTGTGTGTGTGTGTGTGTGCGTGCGTGCGTGCGTGCGTTTGTGTGTGCGTGCGTGTGTGTGTGTGTGCGTGCGTATACCCGTGCGAGTGCTTGTATGCATGTATAACAGTCATGGTGCCCTGAATAATAAACTGAAACCAATCAACATTTGGTTCATGTACTGTGGACTGTGGCTCCCGCATTCAGTAAGCATTACTAGTATTGTTGCTCAGCATCCACGTAAGCATGTTTGGAATAGTGAGAATATATAAGCAAGGTTGCCATTACTTAGCCATGTATGAAACGGGAGATAGCAACGCTCGTAACAATAATGGCGATCTTACCGCTTATAATAGACCTTGGATGTAAGAAGGGCTAGGACACAGGAAATACTATTCTGGGTGGGGTCAGTTCTCAAGCAATGGCTAATAAAATCCTATATTTTATATCTATCGTGTATATCAGATAAGGTCATACTACCTTTAACATGGGTATAATGACGAAAAAAACAGTAATAGCTCACTGCGCATGTCCGTCTAGCGTCTGCAGGAATAACTATACGCAATTTTAGAAAAAAAATTAACAACGACGTCACAAGATACTAGAATGAAGAAACGATAAAAAATGCTCAACAAATAAAGAAAGAAGCGCTTAATTTATAAAACCCGTCTTACCTCGGCGGTTTCTCAGAGACCACGCTGTAGTAGTTAGGGGGAAGGCCGTCGGAGTCTAGGATGGCGTCGTAGCTGGGTGGCTTGTCCTCTGTGTCTGCCTGGGATGTACCCGCCTCGGAACTGTCACGCTGCAAAGAGAAAACAGATTGCTATATAACCTTCAAGAAACTAACAGGTTTTGCTGGCCATTTGTTATTTCCTAATTTAAGTGATGAAAGGCTTTGGGTTTATCCTTCTGCAACAGACGAAAATATGAAAGTTGATCTAAACAGAAAACGGAGAATGGCGAATATCCCGATGCTGTCCTGCAACTAGAAACGACGTAAAGTCCGTATTGATGTATAAAAAATATTCAAGGAAAACCCACCTCGCATCACGGTCTTGTACAAGGAAGGTTAATAAATGAATTTTTAGTGTATAATGAGACAAGACGAGGCTGATAAGAAATTACTTTGATCACAGACAAAACAAAGCAAGGCTAAGGCAAGATAAATGGGAGATAAGTGATAGATAGATAGATAGATAGATAGAGATAGAGAGAGTGTGAGTATGTGTGTGTGTGTGTGTGTGTGTGTGTGTGTGTGTGTGTGTGTGTGTGTGTGTGTGTGTGTGTGTGTGTGTGTGTGTGTGTGTGTGTCTGTGTGTGTGTGTGAGAGAGAGAGAGAGAGAGAGAGAGAGAGAGAGAGAGAGAGAGAGAGAGAGAGAGAGAGAGAGAGAGAGAGAGAGAGAGAGAGAGAGAAAGATAGACAGACAGAGACAGACACAGGAGGAGGGGGGTGTTTGCCACGTTTCCCACAGCGCTAGGGAGGCGTGACATGTGCATGAGTCACACCTACTCGGGGTCCTTGGCGAACTGCGAGAGAAAACCGCGAGATGCTGACTATCTCTCCCCCCACCCTCTCCCTGGTTGATAGGGGGTGAGGAGGGACCTACCCTTCCCTCGCCCCATACCAATATAATTTCGTCACCTGTCTCCCAGCGTAGAATTCGTTACAAGGGGTAATAAATTCTCTATCCACTATCTATCTATCCATCCAAGTTATGTATCCACTATCGGCTTTTTGGTTCCATTGTCTACCCGAACTATTACTCATATTTTCCAAGCCAAATGCCGATTTGTGTGTGATATGTTTAGTGTTGAATGTAAAATGTTTCTCTACCTTTTGACGAAGTGACCTTTTTGTATGCTGTGTACGACTATTCACTTCCATTGTGAGCAATCGTGGCACTTTGTGGCCAGAAGCAGTGACAGGATCCTAAAAGTGAGAGAATTGACAGTGAATGGCATCGGCAATGTAATTTGCTTGCATGTTTTGTACAGTTTCTCTGCATACTTTTGTTCAAGCAAAAAAAATATCTGTGATGTAGATGACTCACGATTTTTGCTTCTTCAGGTAGCCGATTTCCCTTCACCATAGCATAGTATTGGGCATAAACTAATAAAAGCCCTGAAACATATACAAAGACATGCTTTGCATAGCTATACAATATAAGCTAAAAGGACCAGTGAGAGGACGGGGTTAGATACCCCTACGACCATCCCCACTCACTCACACCCTTACAAAACTTCACTCTTAATTCAAGGATAAATGAGAAAAGTCCTCCGTAGGGATTTACGTAACAGACCCAACAGCTCTGTCTCCACGGCGCACTTGCACGTCCGCACATGAGCAGTGAGCGCGGCCGGTGGACAACGCGTCACAAAACACCGATTGTTTTGGTGCCGCGTCGCTGGTGCAGGAATCCAGCGGCACTTGGGCCCTTGTTCGTGACACAGTTTTTGCATGGCTTGCGAAATGGAAATAGGAAGGCGGAGGAATAGGTAAATCAGTGGAGAGAGAAAGAGGTAGAAAGAGATGGGTGGGGGGAAGGAGGGAGGGATGGAGAGGGAGAGGGAGAGGGAGAGGAGAGGGAGAGGAGAGAGGAGGGAGAGAGGGAGAGAGAGAGGGAGAGAGAGAGAGAGAGAGAGAGAGAGAGAGAGAGAGAAACGTGTCATTAACATTACACCCTGACTCTTTAAACGGTTAATATTTCCTACCATATTCATATCTACTTCTCCACCCTCGCTTCTCCTCTAATTTCTTTCTCTTCTTCCCCTTCTTCGTCATTCTTTCCCTTTTTTTTCCCCTTTTTATCTCCCCCACGACTCCCACTATTGTCTCGCTTGGTGCTGCGCTTTCGTTTCAGATTTCACGCGCAGGCCACTAGGGGACGTGTGACTGATATCCTACCAAATTAAGAACAGGGGATATATGAAACTGATAAAGGGAGGAAGAGAAGGACTAACTATGGTGGTGGTTGTGGCGATAATGATGATTATAAAGATAATGATAATGAGTGATGATGATGATAAATATAATGGCGGATATTAGAGCAAACCTTCGAATATGGAATTATAATGATTATGATTATTATAATGATATTAATGGCGATCGGGAGAGAGAGAGTGAGAGAGAGAGAGAGAGATGAGGTGAGAGGAAAATTCAACTCAATTCATTATCGCAACTGGTCTTTACATCCGAAAGCGACAACGTGTCATTAACATTACACCCTGACTCTTTAAACGGTTAATATTCCCTACCATATTCATATCTACTTCTCCACCCTCGCTTCTCCTCTAATTTCTTTCTCTTCTTCCCCTTCTTCGTCATTCTTTCCCTTTTTTTTCCCTTTTTATCTCCCCCACGACTTCCACTATTGTCTCGCTTGGTGCTGCGCTTTCGTTTCAGATTTCACGCGCAGGCCGCTGGGGAACGTGTGACTGATATCCTACCAAATTAAGAACAGGGGATATATGAAACTGATAAAGGGAGGAAGAGAAGGACTAACTATGGTGGCGGTTGTGGCGATAAGGATGATTATAAAGATAATGATAATGAGTGATGATGATGATAAATATAATGGCGGATATTAGAGCAAACCTTCGAAAAGAACATGGAATTATAATGATTATGATTATTATAATGATATTAATGGCGATCGTAATACGATATGATGATGACGCCAACGGCAGTGATGAAAAGGATAATGATAATTACGGCAACGGATATTACAACTAACCTTCGGAAAGAAAAACAAATCCTAGAACGGAAAGAGGAGATAGAGAGAAAGAGAGAGAGAGAAAAAAAAAACATACAGCATTTCTTCATTACGCAAAGTCGTATTACAAGCAGTCGCGGGCGTGCAATACGAGTGCAGATGGGCGTGGCGCAAATTATTTACTTTCTCTTTGGTTCGCGTCTTGAGCCGTAAGCAAGCGATTTGATTTCGTTCGTAATGACGTCATTCGCGCGTACTCCCTAATTAGCTGATCGCCCTGTGTAGAGGAAGCGGGAAAGAAGTGGGATATATATATTTTTTTCTATATAGCGAGATAAACGTGAGGGATTCTGGATGTAAAAGTTTACATAATATTACCATGTTTTCCTGTAGATGATGGGTCGGTAATGCCCGTATATAATAAAACTAGGATTTCAGTTTTCAGTTGCTGTGCGTTAATCAAAATCGATGGATATATAATCATCTTTATTTCAATTGTTTGTGACCGATAATGATAGAACAAATAAACAAATCTTCCCCTACGACATGACTAAATGGGAAAATAGTAACACTGAATGGACTTTCCTGTCCCCGACTTGCTTTTTTTGACCCTGAATTTAAAAAAAGGATTTCAGGAAGGAAGTAATTATATATAAAAAAACAACAACAAAAAAAACAAACTTTCAGGTGTTGACTGACTCTAGATTCAATGAGTATCAGCTTATTTCTGCCTGTTAATAAACGTGAAAATAAGTAATTATATATACTTTTGTAATATCCCTGACTATTTTTCTGTTAATGTCAGTCTATTTATTTATTCTTTAATTCTCTATTCAAATGTTCGTTCTTGAAATCAATTCTTGCTTTCTACTATACCCGTACACGTTTGCGTTCGTAGACTTATCATAGGAAACGTTGATGGGTGTAACAGCCAAACACAAGATAAGGAAAATGAGTAGCTGTTCTAACCGGCGAAAAATTATATTTTTTTGTTCATTTATTTTTTGAGAGAGGAGAGAAGGGGAGGGAGGGAGCAAGAGAGAGAGGGAGGGAGGGAGGGAGGGAGGAGAGAGGGAGAGAGGGAGAGGGAGAAAGGGAGAAAGGGAGAGGGGGGGAGGGAGAGGGGGAGGGAGAGGTAGGTAGGTAGGTAGGTAGGGAGGGAGGGAGGGAGAGAGAAAGAGAGAGAGAGAGACATTTTTTTGGACATTTTTTTCTCTGAATATCACTTTTTCCCAGAACATTTTTTTTTTCATCTGCATAACCACTTTTTCTTTCTTTTTCCTCTGAATATCACTTTTCTCTCCTTTTCTTCTGAATATCATTTTTCTTTCTTCTTCCTGAATATCCATTGTTTTCTTTCGTTTTCCTCTATCACAATTTCCTTTCTCTTTTCTCCAAATATCCAATTCTTCGATACCATCCCTTGGACATATGATCAACTACCATTTTTTGGTTGTTGTTGTTTTTACACCAACGTATAAAAAAAAATCACAACGTAATGTTATCGTGGAAAGCATTTGATGTAAGTGATAGAAGAGGAGTTTTCAGAAAGGAATATATATATTTTCATGACGTGGTTTGTGAAGATGATACGAAGGGGAGAGACTCTATTGCGAGTGCAACGTAGGATCGTGTGATGTTTTTGCACGCTGGGATTACTTTTTTTTCCATATTCTTTTGGAGAGGAGTGTCTGTAGAATATTTATTTGTATTGATATGACTTCAGCAATGACAAAGAGAAAGTTTTTTTTTTGGAGTTTAGCTTTCATGGGGCGAACTTTATGACGTGTAAAAGACGGAGAGTGTGAAGGTAGAAAGGGATGGAGAGAAGGAGACGGAGACGGAGATGAAGGGATGGAGAGAGAGAGGGAGAGGGAGGGAGAGAGGCAGGACGGGAGAGAGAGAGAGGGAGGGAGGGAGAGGGAGAAGGAGAGAGAGAGAGAGAGAGAGAGAGAGAGAGAGAGAGAGAGAGAGAGAGAGAGAGAGATAGAGAGACAAAGAAAGAGCAAGAAAGAAAAAGAGCAAGAAAGAGAGAGGGAGAAAGAGAAAGAAAGAAAATATCAAAGAGAGAACAGAAAAGAAAGAAATA